ACTTTTAAATCGGGTCGATACTTGTAATTTTGAGTGACTCGTGACCCGCATGACCCAACCCGATGGGTCGGGTCATATATTTCCTTGACCCGGGTTTTAACCCGAATCAACCTGAATAATCATTAATTGATTTTGATTATCCAAATCTTTTTTTTCGCACCTTACTTTATCAAGTTAAAACTACTAGACCATTTTTATTCATACTCTACTATAATGTCTGTTGACTTGACTGAACCAACAACTCCACCAGCTCAACGCCTTGGAAAAAAAAAGGCTTTACGTAGTGAGCTTTTTACTAAAGATCTCTTTGAAGAAAGAAGTCTTCCACAAGACCATGAAAAGGCCAAAACTCATCGTGAAGTCCAGTGTCTTAATTGTCTGTAAGTAAAAAAATTTATCATGATATATTGAAATATATGCCAAATATTGACTAGATATTTCTTTTAAAATTTTAGAAACAATAAAGTCTGGTATCGTAAAATTGGTGATGCTAATACAACTAATCTTTGGCGCCATGTAGAGGTTCATCATCCAGAAAAAGATCCAAGGCCTAACAAAAAAGCAAAAAAATTAATAGCAGAAGGTCAAAATACATTGGATGAATTTGTGGGTCAGACAGAGGTTCCATCTAAAGTTAGTGTAATGAATAATTTATAATTTTGTATAAATTGTAAAATTAAAAAAGCTTTATTGATTATATAACTATATTTTTATTTTATTTTAAGTTTACACAGACAGACTTTCGTAAATTTCTTTCTAAATGGATAATAGCTGATGATCAGCCATTTACAACAGTAGAAAATATACATTTTCGAAATGTGGTAAAGGTGTTAAATTCAGATGCACTAGTTCCTAAAGCAGATACAATCAAAAATGATATAAATGAAAGTTTTGATGAAGAGCGAAAAAAAAGAAAAATTTTACTTCAGGTAAATATTTAAATTTATGTAAAAGTAATTCTACAATCTTGTTATTAATTATATTTTATATAATAGAAAATCCCAGGTAGAATTTCATTTGCTTTAGATGCATGGACGTCAATAAATGGGTATGGATTTTTAGCTATCACAGCACATTGGATTACAAAAAATTGGAAACTTTGTGATAGTTTGCTTGACTTTATAAAGCTTTCTGGTCCTCACTCTGGTGAAAACATCTGTAATGCTTTTGTAAAAAGTTGTGATGATTTTGGGATTTTAGAAAAGGTAAATTTCTCTATATTTTATTTAAACTTTGAAAATACATGCTAATGACAAAAATTAATTATTTTAATAGATTTTCGCCATTACAAGTAATAATGCTACAAACAATGATACCTTTATGAAATATTTAGAAAATACTTGTCAAAAAAAAAATATTTCTTTTGATGCCATTAATAATCATTGTCATTGTATTGCTCATATCATGAATTTAGCTGTACAAGAAATTTTAAAACAAATTAAAGCAGGTGAAGCTGAACCTGAAGATGCTATATTAGAAATGCCTATAAATACTGGAGAAGTAATCCCAAAGGTAACTATTTTATAATGCATTATTAAACTTCAATTGCTATTATTAAGGTGTATTAATTAATTATTATTGTTTAATTAGCTTAGAAAGCTTATAGTCAAGATACGTGCATCGCCACAACGCCAAGAAAAATTCGCATGCCATGCTGAAGCAGCTGGGCTTAAGGAACTCCAACTTATTTTAGATGTGAAAACAAGATGGAATTCCACACATAATTTGCTTGAACGTGCACTAAAAATGCGTGAGGTTAAAATACATGTTATTATATAGTGCATTATTATTTGTTATATTTTAATCTTGGATATTTATTGTATACTATTATTATTCACAGGCATTAGATGCAATAGCAAGGTCAGACAAAGAACTTCAAAATTTTGAACTTTCTGATGATGAATGGAACAGAATTGATGAGGTTGTGTCAGTTTTAATGGTAGGCAAATTATTCCTAGCATTTTAATTTTAAGTAAGGTTTAATTTATTAAAATTTTCATTTTTTTATATTATATTGTAATAATTACATGCAGATATTTATACATACTACCAATGTAATGTCATCTGCAAAATATCCAATGCTTTCTTCAGTTGTGCCACTATACAATTATCTAATTGATGAACTTGAAGATTATTGTGAAAGTCATGATAGTTCTAGTGATATAGTAATTGCTACTAAAGCAGGTATAGAAAAATTAGAAAGATACTATGCAAAGACAGATGACACAAATATGTATACAGTTGCTACTGGTAAGTTAAGTATTAACTGAAAATTAATTTTATTTGTCATTAAATCAATGGTAATATGATATCAAATAATTTAATTTTATAGTACTTGATCCACGACTAAAGTTAAGTTATTACGAGGATCACAAATGGAAACAAAATTTTATTAATTTTGCCAAGGAAACGGTTCTGGATATTTATAATACTGAATATGGACCATCTGAACATTTAGAAGGTGGTAATGTTAATGTTGATAATAATGGTTTTTTAAATCATATTTTTGGAAAACAGCAGAAAATTCAGCAAAGTGAAGTGGATTTGTATTTAAAAGCCCCCGAGCTGAGCCACAACCGGATATTCTGCTGTGGTGGAAGGTATGTAATTACAATCATTATTAAACTATACAATTTAAATTTATTAACATTTCAATTAACATATATAATTTTGCTAGGCAAATGAGACAGTGTATCCACACTTAGCCAAAATGGCTAGAGATTATATTGCCATTACAGGTAAAAAGTTTATTATGTATAATGTTATGATTATTAAGTATTAACTAATAAATTTTTTTAATAATCAATAAAGCAACAAGTGTTTCAGTAGAGAGAGTGTTTTCAGGGGGAGCTGATTTATTGGCTACCAAGAGATGTAGTCTTAAAGTCAAAACAATTAGAGCATGCATGTGCTTGAAATTATGGCAGAAATAAAGTATTATTGAGTTTCTATTGATACATTTAATAAAATTTTGAATTTTAATTCTGATCTTAATTAAATAGTTAATTATATATAATGTAAATTTAAGTTTAAATGAAGTTTATATTGAATGTAATTGAATAATAACTTTAAATTCGTATTGCAACGATAGATAAAAGTTGTGCAGGGAATTGCGCTAGGATTTGGTTGAGAAAAATCACTTTGGACGAGTAGAGATGTCCAATTTTTTGGATACATTTTCTTCAAGAGTGTAGTTTCTAGAATTTGGTTTATTAATGTTTTTAATTTTATTTTGTTTTCTTATTTTGTTTCTATTATTGTTTTCTTTTTCTTTTTAGATTAGACAAAATTTTTATGAGACGCAAGATTTATAACACCAGTATCGTTAGAAAATTTAAAACATAAGAAAATAGCAAAATTAAAAAAATTTATAGAATTTTTTAGATTAGTAGCGTCTTTACACAATAGATGAATTTTTTTAACCAACAATTTGAGGTTATTTTTTAGATCTGTCTTAGTAATTTTTTTAGAATAGATCAGTTAGTTATAGAGGATAATATAATTTATTTATATTTCTTCTTTTTCTGAGAAAAACCTGATCATAATTAATAAACGCGTTACTAATAATAATAATAAAAAAAAAAAAGTTGTGCAACCTATATGATGATCATTATCATTGTCTTGTAGATCAATTTTTCTTATTATTGATTAACCAAAAATTCGAGTTTGAACCCGGGTTATACGGGTTAAACTATACTCGGGTCAAGTCGATATTGGGTTATAAAATTGTGTGACCTGAACATATACGAGTCCCTCCTTTTTCACTTCAGATCGGGTCGAATATATTCTCAAAACCCGACCCGACTTGACCCGGTAGGAGCACTATATTTAATATATCCAGAAATACATATTTTTATATTTTTTTTTTATTTGTTATATCTAGAAATGCATAAAAAGGTATATATTACTAATATTTCTTTTCTTTATTAATGTTTTTCTACCATTTTTTTTTCGTTTCTTTCTTT